TCTTCTCTCATCTTAAGTGTAACATACTGGAGAAAAGCAGACAGTTATGGATAGAAAGATGTTATTCACAGGTAAAGGATGCTAACTTTTTTTTTTCTTTTTTTTTTTTTTTTTTTGTACATTTGAATCACATAGTCACTCAGGCTAGAAAAGACCTATCAAGATCATCAAGTTCCAACCATGAGGAACAAGGGTAAAATATACCAGCTGTTAACAGTCTAGCAGAGACACATCACGTTCAACTATGCTCTTTGATGTGAACAGAGATTCATTGCCTGTAGGAGGAGGTAGGTAAAAACACCAGGATGGGGCTTCTTGGCTCTTGGGAAGGATAGGAAGTTGGCAAGACCAGAAGGCAAACAGCAACTGAAACTGCTGAAGTACTGGTAGCAGGCACAGCAGGAGAAAATGATAGTTTGAAAGTAATAAGGAGGCAATGACAACAAGAGCAGGATGACGGAGCACTGACCACTGCAGACCCACCAAAAACTCTGAGGTCATGCAGCCACCATCTTAGCACTGACTAAGTTAACATTTTCTGTTGCAATCTGATGTAGATTTAGTCATCAAGTGTTTTCAGGTCAAAACAGTCAGGATTTCAGCTGAAGGCCTACGAATACTGAACAGTATTGACAAGACAAATTTCAATATGTAGACTTAATGCCACTATGAAAAAGTAGACATTTTGTAGATTCACATAATTATTTAGGTTGGAAGGTCCTCTGGAGGCCAGCTCACTCAAACTCTACTCAAAGTAGAGGCACGTTCACAGCTAGATTGTGCTGCTCAGGCACCATCCACCTGAGTTTCGAGTCTCTCCAAGGATGAAGAGACTTTTCAACCACTCTGGGAAACCTGTTCCACTGCTCGAACACTCTTCATCATGAAATGTTCACAGCACCTGCCTAATGTTGTCCTTCAGTTGCCTAGAAGAGACTTTTGGACAAAACGGAAAGTCTGACTGCATGTGGCACTATACTGCTAAGACATAAAAGGATTTTCTTTCAAAAATAAAATTTCTGTTTATTGTTTTTGTTTTTAAATCAGACTATCGTATCTTCCAATTGTAATAGCTCATTTTTTTACTTCATTACTTATGTAGCACAACGTCTGTAAGCTCTTGGCAGCAATGTTTTAAGTGCAACAACACAGAAAAGGTCAATCCAAACAGAACAGCCATTTAGGCATAAATATACTGGAAAGGTAACAAAAAAGCAAAGGAAGAGAAAAGAAGGCAAACCAGTGTTTTCAAAGGCATCTGGGACACTTCATTCCTCATTCATTCAGCCTGGAGTTACAACTGCATCTCTACAATCCTTTTTTATTACCAGGTAAAACTCTGTCATCCAAAGAGTTTCAAATTGAAGGGAGAACCTACTTAGAGAAAGGTAAGAAGAACACTATTTTGTTTCCATAATGCATAATAAATGTTACAAAGGGAAATAACACCTGTAAGCTTCTTACTCACAAAGACTGACAATGATATGTTTAACTTGCCAGCCAGTGATACTATGAAGGCACATAAATAATGCCTTTATTAATGCTTCTGGCAAATCCAACAGCAAACAGACCTCGCAGAACACAGAAGGAGCCGGTGTGTAAGAGCACGCAGTAATTCTGTCTATTTTGGATGCTTATAACACGGGCCAACATGAGTATGACCAGGAAGAAGTCGCACTTTCCAGAACTTTCCATGACCTATCTTGCAGCCATCCCGTCCTGCCTGCAAAAGGCCAAGCGTCTGTGACCAAACAAAATGGAGGAAGGCCGAAATGCTGTGTGTCTCCTTCCCTCGGTGTGAACAGCTCTCACTCACAGTTCTTTCATGACCATGCTTTATATTATTTTTCAGTGATTTCTAAATACTAGAATTGCAACGATACCAAACTGGCATAGAACTGAGAAGGATCCAGGCTTAAAAACACTGCACTGAAACGTCTCAAAGGCACATTTTAAGTACCTCCCCACAGCCTTTTCCTGAGGCTTCACACGCTAGTTAATCCAACAAAATGTACTTGCTCTATACAAGGAAAGACAATTGCTGCAGATGCCCTATTATCATGACTTTTCACTGCCATGTATAATTAAATGGTCACTTTTTTTTTTTTTTTTTTTTTTTTTTTAGGGAAAACACACAGAAACTACAAAATTTGTTTGGAGAAGTTCAGATAATGCCCTGTGATAATGATTCAGATAATGCTCCACTCCCTTCCAACTACCCTACAGCCTCCCAGATCACTTTTCTTTTTCTCAGGGAACATATGCTCCCACCAAAGCAAATACGGTTTCCAAGCCTGGGAAGGTAAATGGATAAACCCTTACACTTTGACCATGATAATTCATTCTTTCCCTCTTCAAAAATAGCATGTCATAAAGGGATCTGAAAAACAGTCTCGGGACTCTGCAGGTGCCATAATATTTCTGATTTTCCGATAAAATAGATACAGTGAGGAAAGACTCCCTCCCTGGCACTGTGTCTGATTTGTGTGACTCCTTCACACATTATTCCTCCAGCGGCAAACAATGCCCTGCGTGACAGACTTCAAAAGAAAAACGGCTTTGGTGAAGCCAAAACCTTACCCAAGGAAGAGAATTACCACTGTCAAAATGATCTCTTGCACAGTCTAACGCGTGTTGTACAAGGAATGTGGCTCTCAGCTTCTCCAGGGTTCACAGGGAGCTGCTGATTTCTGCTGCAAGTAGGAGTTTGACTCTCTCTGCCTGCATTAATTATTCTGCAAATTCTCACAAAGTCTGCACCTCGGCCTACCAAACTGAGACACTGTGACACCTGCTCCGAGTATGAGACCTGCTGTGACTGAGTCACTTCCCATTTTCTTTGTGCCACAGTCCCCTAAATCCTAATAACCCACAATGTCCTTCTTCCCACTTCAGCTCAAGCAGGGTTTCTCATTTTGCTTGCAGTGCAATGTATCTGTAAAACCATAAAACAGCAATGAAAGAACCCTTCAAGTACCTGGTCCTGAAGCAGCCTGATACCTAAAACAAGAGCTTCATGACACATCATACCTTGCAGCTTCTCACCTACTTTCAGAAGACCTTTATATTCTACAGAAAGCAAAGGCCAGAATATACACACAGATATTTATATATCTCTGTGACTGTTAGGAAGAAAATGCACACCGCGATTCAAGTGGTACTCCTCACCATAGAAATTCAATTTTCAAATTCTAAAGTCTGCATTCTGACACCCAATAAAGCTGCTCTAGTTAAACACACAGCAGCTTCTGTCATCAGGCAGCCTCAGAGCCTGCACACACATCCACTAGTGGCATTAAACTCATATGCATGAGTAGTTACACAAAATTCAGGTGAACCCACCAAAATTAGTTGGGCCAGAACTTTACATACTGCAGATGCTTAAAGACTAAGCACAGTTTTCAATTTCTGCTTGGGTGCCTAGAAAGCAAAATTATGAACCCAACTTCGTATTCGTTCCCACATTCATTCATTTCTGGCAAACAAAGCTGACTCTGCCTTGCTTCGTGCCTGGAATCAAATCTCTCTGGAGATGAAGCTGTGTATTTTAAACGTTGTGACCTACACACAGTTATTCAGTAAAATGGCTGAGAAACAATGTATTTGGATTGCTAACAAAAATCTACAATAAGAAAATAATGACGGCAAAACATTTACAATTACTTAAAGTAAAAGAGAAAAGTGAACTCAAATGATTTTAAAGTTAGCGATTTTCATGTTTTCAAGTGTTTATACAACCATGTGGTTGTCTAAAGTTTGTCTAATTAATACTTTTCATTAATGAATCATAATTTAATTCAATTTAATAAAAAACATTAAAGTAGAGCTTATAAAGTAAATAACTACGGACATTTAAAAAACACTAAGATCAAAGCTTATGCAAATTCTGTTGACAGTAAGACAATTTAATTTTTTGGCCTTTCAGAACAAGCAAGGATTTTCTTGTTCTGAGTTACAAGGCATCTCTGTACATTACTGAATATACTACTTTAATCTTTAGTCAGTTTTTTCCATCACTATAGATAAAGCACGCAGTAACCCAAAGACGAAAGCAGTGACTGTGTTGATTCAAAGGTGACAGTAACATGACTGCAATAATGAAAACAAAAAAGCAAATAAAAAGCTATTTATTGTTTTATCAACGAGTTCTTCTAAAAGCTTCACAGAGAAATTCCTGAAACTGGCCTGAAACTGCCTGTCTGCAACGGATGCAACAAATCCATCTGACAAGGCTTTTAATGGCCTTCAAGACAGAGTTGCATGACAGACACACCTATGTGTTGTCCTTCTATTAGTTAATGCAAGGCACTGTCCACTTCACAAGCATTTCTTTAAGCCAGATGTGTATTTACCTGTATTATTGGCATCAGTACAGATGATAAAAAAATAATTAAATTTCCTTTTCATGTTTTTTTTTTCTTTCTTTCTTCCTTTTCCTGTCTACACAACAGAAGTCAAAGATGTCAGCTTCATTTTAACTGCTCTATCTATCAGGTATAGCTCTGCACCCAGCTCAGGTATAAGCTCTGCACCCAGCCACACAGAACTGATGTACCACCACATCAAGACCGGAGGCAACTCTCTGATGTCAGAGCTAATGACACTACCTACACACCTAGCTTCAGTTTTGAAGAAGATAAAGAGACAGACAACAAGTAGTTGGCAGGACCATGGCAGAAGCAAGGAAGGAAAAGTGTTTGGGGAGAAAGGGGAAAAGCTCCCTGTAAATCACTACTTGCAGATATACACACATGGAAATTCAACAGAGCGCTAGTCTTATTCAGATTTATTTTGATTTTCAAGTAAAAATAACAAAATCAAATATGAAAGATTGATGCTGGGTTCCTCCCTTTTACTAACCATACCAACAGCACAACAGAGTTGTTGGAGAGGGGACTCCACTGTGACTGTAGACAGGGGAATGAGGTGAAACAGCAGGCAGGTGTAAATAATGCCAGCTCCTGCCCCAAGCAGTGAGCTGATCTCTCCCAGCACTTTACCTGATGGCGTGCTAGTTGCTGCTGTTGCTGTACTCGTGGAGTGTGTAGGGCTGCTGCTTTCCAGCAAGAGACAAGAGCTTCCACCACCATTCTTCTTAATGAACTGCTCTGGGACACTGGGCAGGGGTACTGGGTGGCTGATTCCCAGTTCCTCTTCCTGAGCTTGCTGCCTTCTCAGTGCAACCTGGGAACAAGAAGACAGATGTAGGGCATGTTCTCTGACTTGAGCACAATTTGTAATGGCAACAGGCAAGACTCAAACTCAAGGCTGTTTTTGTTTCTTGGTACTCTCTGAAGTGTTGATGGCATAATCCAGCCAGTGGGTATAGGAAGATATAAAAGAGATTGTTGAGCTATTTAAAAGCAACCACTTTTCCATCCAAGCATATGTGAACAAACCCATGAAATGCCGGTGCCACCTTCTTCCAATGAGGTCACATTAAGGCTGACTGCATTCGTGCAATACAGTTGCTCTTGGGTGAAGCATATTGACAAATGCATAGACCCATTCCACTCTGCTGATAAACAGCTCCTGGGGATAAGAAATCACCTTTCAGGCTTGCTGTGCCTCTTCATCTTAATAAGGTAACTCTTTATGAGTGTTTGTACTTGCAATCTGTTGCTCTGTCCAAGCCTGCTGGGCTGCCTTGCTTGCTCTTGGTTGGAAATCGAGGGAATTTCAATACATGGCACAGTCAGTACACACAGAGAGCTTTCTGGCAGAGGCACACAGAAGGCAGGGAACCACCCTGCAAGCATTTCAGCAAGTGTCACACACATTGCATGCAGCTGGCCACGTCTGGTGCAGCAGCAGCTCCCCGCTCCTTTCCCAACACTGATGCAGCTCCAGAGCCTAGTCTGCACTAGCAAAGCCCACAGGCAATGCAAACTCTGGACACGGGTGCCAACAAGCCACATGCAATGCCTACTGAAGATTCAGAGGGTACAGCACACCCCTTCTGCCTCACCTGAACAGGCAGGTCGGTTTTGCACAGCCATCCACCTATGCCAAGTCCTGAGACATTGCCAGGCAGCACAGCTTTGTAGCTATCCACCCTGCAACTTGCCACATAGCAACTGCTTTGCATCTGCATCTGAACCACGGAAATCTGTACTAGATTGCAGACCATGATCATGGGCTTCTTCTGCAGGAAATTCTCCTGGGTAATTCTCCGGGATGTGCCTCTGTTTCCTGGCCATGTTCAACAGCCACATTTTCCTAATATGGATATGTAATACTATCAGAGAAATTAATGACAGCTCGTTAAAAACATACTTTCAAAACAGAGCATATAGATGTGCAAACACTATGGGACTTAGTCCCTTTTTTTTTTGGTTTGACTTCACAAACCAACAACCTTGACCTGCAAAATTCCACCAGCGCAAAGTGGCTTACTGCAGAAATATATCAAAAGGGGTAAAGACAGACTTTCAATGTGCAGCTCCTACACAGATAAGGTTCAGTGAGGGAGGCTTTTGAAACCACTTTCAAATACTAGGCAGGGAAGAGAAAGCCCCCCTCTGCAAGGGCCAGCTGGAGAGAGGAATTCACGGTGTGAAAGGAACTACGGGGCGGCAGAACTACCTGTACAGAAGGGGACAGCTTCACAGCGGGAAAAAAAAAAAAAAAAAAAAAAAAAAAAAAAAGAAGAAAGAAAGAAAGAAAAAAACCTGCTTTCTCTTCCCTGAGGGGCTCCAAAAAGGGACCCATGTTTATTATCCCATGGTTCACACCTGGCAGAGATAGCACATGTAACTTTGGCATAATCCACTATTTCTGGACCATTGTAGTATTAGCTGGGAGGAATTACTTAAATGAACCAAAACTCCCCATGGATTCAAAGGAATTTTAATCTAACTGCATGGAATAATTAAATAAAATTATTTTTAAAAAATGGGGAAGGATTTCAAGGAGGGCTACTAGGAGTTTTAGTCTGGCATTGGGACACTCATTTTCCATGGGACTGTGAAGTTCTGAGTGCACGTTACCTGTGAAGCGGGTCCACGGGTCTGGCATCCCTGCCTTTAATTGTACCAGTTAGTCCTAGCACCTTCCAATTAATCTGTCTGAAGGGCTTTATTTGCGTGAACCGGGATGTGCAATCCCACTCACAGGGCTCAAGCACATTAGCCGTATCACTCCCAGGACTCCTCATTAATGAAGTTTTCAACACAAGGCTCACAGGGACTAACAGAGCCTCGTTAAACGTTATCAGGCAGAGCTGTGACTTCAGAGGGAATCACTAATGAATAAAGTTATCTCTGTGCAGAAATGGATGTAGTTTGGTTTGCCTCGGCATGGCAATGATTTGAAATTTAGATTTAAGGTTATAAGCTGTAGGCAGCCCTGCGTATACAGAGCCTCTCCATGAAGTATTAATAAAGTTTTTAAACAGCTGTGTATAAGTATTTTAAGGAAAGAAAGAAAAATATGTTTTCTTGGAAACGAACTCATCAAAAGCCACCTAATGTAAGGTCAAATGGATATACCGGATCTGAAACTGGGAGGGCAAAACACTGCCACTGGCTGCTAGCTGGATGGATAATCGTTTAGTTAAAAACAAGCTGTTCGACAGACAAAACAAACAACGTAGCGTCAGGTAAAAGCCTGAAGGCTGCAAGCGTGTTTAAGTTTTGGTGAGCTCGTGTTTTAAAATCAATACATATTCAGCCGCGCTCAGAAGTCCGCTGCCAGCCGCCTAACTCCTGCACGCGTGTTCAGGTGAAGGAAGACAAAAAAAGAAGAAGTTTAATTAATTTATTGTTTAAAGGCGCTACGTGACGGAGCCCAGCTTCGCCCCCCAGCCCCCCCATCCCGGCCGCCCCGCGCCTCACCTGCGCTGCCATGACCCGCTGCCGCTCGGCGATCAGGCTGCACTTCTTGCACTGGCAGTCCCGCCACATGCAGAACCGCTTGTGCCCCTTCAGCGGCGACGAGTACCCGTGGTTGCGGCAGCGGGCGCACTTGGGCAGCCGCGGCAGCTTCTTCCCCGCCGCCGCCGCCGAGGAAGAGGAGGAGGAGGACGAGGAGGAGGAGGCGACCCCCGGTGCCGGGGCGGCCGCCATTTGGGCGAAGCCGCCCGCCTTGTCCGCGGGGCCGGGCGCCTCCGGGGGCTCGCCGAAGGCCGGGGAGTCATTGGGCATGGCGGCGGGCTGCGCGTCCCGGCCCGGCCCGGCCCGTCGGTGCCCTCCCGTCCCGTCCCGTCCCGTCCCGTCCCGCTCCGCCCCGCCACCCCTCGCGGCCCAGCCTCGCCCCTCCCTGCGGGGTCCCCTCCGCCCCCCCGGGGCCGAGCCCTCTCCGCCGGGGGGCACGGCCCGGCCCGGCCCGCTCCCCGCTGCCGCCCCCCGGCCGCAGGTGCAGGGCGCTGGGCGCTGGGCTGGGTGTTTGTGGGGGACACGGGCTGCAGGGGCTGCGGAGCGGGTGCAGGCGGGCAGAGCTTTGCCCGGGAAGATGCCTTTTTCCTTCCCTCCTTTGCATGGGCTCCCCTTCTCCTTGCGTGATTTACAGACCCCGGCAGCTCTACAGATATTATTTACAGTATTAATATTTCCTCTGTTACACCTTTAAATCTTTCCGGGCTCGGCTTCAGGTGACGCTATCTTCATGCCGAAATGAAACTATTAAATTACATCTCAATCTAAGATGAATGACAACTGTCAGATGAGTGACTCAACAGAGATGAAGCAGAAGGCGCCTGAGATTATGTGAGGCTGATTTATAAAGATTGCATAAAGATTTCTATAACCCCAGCTTCATGACTCAGCATATCAGATAGTAATAAGTTACAGCAGGTAGAAATTTATTTCTCCTGGATGAAGCCAAGGAAAGCTTCTCCCTCTTCTACATCAGCTATCTCCCTGCTAATTCTGCTCAGGCTGAGCCTCCCTCCCAGTAAATAACCAATGCCAACCCTGGCCAAAGAAAGCCTCCATTCATTCTTGCTCAGTACTTTGAATTACCATTTGCTAAATAGATTTTAAAGAATATATATATATTTTTATAACTTCACAGCGCAACATAGGAGACATTTGTGGAGCTTTCCAGCCACACATTAAAATATTCCCAGTCTTGAGCAGCCAAATAGTCCTCAACAAGGACTTGGTTCTGTCCTCAACCAGCAGCAGAAGCAGCATCTGGGAAGTGTTGGCAGGAGGGTGTTAACGTCACCCGACTCACATCACTCTGCCGGGTCTGCCTCTCCTGACATCAGCAACTGCACATTTTCCTGCAAAAAGGGAAGGTGGACACAACCTTTACTACAGCAAAAATTATATAATTTCACAATGCAACAGATGGTGTGTATCACTAATGTTTAAGTGAGAAATGCAAACAGGCATTCTTAGCTTCCTATGCTGAAAAGTGAAATTCATCCCTGAATAAAAACAGCTGAGATCTTCTTAGCCTGTAGGGGCATTGATTAGGCTCCAAAGTTGTTGACAATGAGCAAGTCAGTCTTGAAAGTGGAACTCCAGCATGTGGAGTTCTTCTGCAGGTGGTTGATCCCTGACAGGGATGTTTCCAGGTGCTCAAATGCAAATTGTCTTGAAGTCAATTGAAACTTCAAGTGGAAAAGGAGATGGAAAGGAGGCTAAATCATCATAACAAGGAAGACTAACAAAACCAAGGTATGAAAACGAGAAGATAAAACACATCAGAAATGATGGGAGGAGGAAGAGAAAAGCTGAAAGGAGTGAAAAAATGAGAAAAGAGAAGCACAGCCTGTAAAGGAGGGAAAGACGGACAAAGGAGAAATAATAGTGGTCACCAGCTGCTTATATATGACATTTCACTAAGAACTAAGCACGACAGCCACGCTCAAAAGTGAATCACAAGATGCAAATAAAGCAACAGTTCCAAGATGAATATTAATTCAGCTGTCTTTCACGTAAGTAGTATTTCATACTCCTGCTTTTCAGGACAATTGCACAGATCCCTGTTATCCATAATGTTACGAAACCTATTGGTAAGGAACAAAATATTGAAGTCGTTAGTAGTACTAATCTGGTATTTTGTGTTCTGGATGAATGCCACTGAAATAGCAAGGTGCCTGCTGAATACAAGTACACAGCCAGTCCTTTAACTATGAATTCCCTTGTTTTGGTTAGCTCAAGCCACACTTTGAGTATGATTTTAGTGCGTAATCTGGTTTGTTTCCGCCCCCCCCCTTTTTTTTTTAAATGGGTGTTTGGTGAGTATGTAAATCCATTACTGGGTTGGCTGTCCATTGGACTCATGCAGGAATAGAAGATGGTTGTTAACAGTTCCAACACATATCAGAGCAATCTCCCTGCAAGTCTTCACGAAATATTCATTTATTTAATGTAAGTCTGGGTGCTTCTAATTTGAATCCAACAATGATATTGGTGATTAAATATCACAGCTATTTCCTGGCATTTTTGGAAGTAAGAAATTGTAATAAATGTTTCTGGTGAAAAATCATAAGAAAAATCAAATGACATTTTTGCTTTGTGTTCTGGATAGCTGATAGCTATCCTTAAGCTTAGACAAAAATGCAAAAATGCTGAAGTCTTCAAGCATTGCCAATGAATGTCTTTTGATATCCTTTGCACCTAGAAAAAGTTTTATTTGCTAACAAAATCATTGTCTGGAGGGACAGATGTGAACAAGCCATGTCACCCCCACTACATTTGGTGTGACTGACCATCTCAGTAGAAAGGCAACAAATTCAGAGGACCCAAATCTGACACCATTGCCTGCAAAGCAAATTAGTTTCACCAAAGTCAGCAGGGCTGAGTGCCATTCAGTATCTTGCAGGGCATGTTTCCCCCATAAAAGCTGACCATCGTCTTAGCTTCCAAAAAGGACTCTCTGAGTGTGAAGGAAACTGGGATGAGATTGCATTACTTCTCTGTATTCTGTGGCTAAACCAAGAGTTCCTCTTTCTAATGCTATTCTGAAAAAAAAAAAATATATATATATATATATCATAGAATCATATATATATATATATATATATAGTTCATAGTCTGGAATTCTGCACTGAATGAAGAAACTTAATTATTAATTATTTAAATAACTGGAAAAAAAATAAAGCAATAGTTAATGTATTAGCCATGAAGCAGCGTAGCTCTCCCCTTTTCTCCATGCCCCTATCTTAGACCCCTGGCTTTGTGCCTCAGCACCATGAGCATTGTACTCAAAGACCCTGTGGTCACCCCCTTGCAGCAGCCTGTTGAGCAAGGGCTGAACACCACCAGAAGCAAAATGACTCAACATCATTTAGTGTCCCAGTTACCCACACCTCTCTTCATGTGACTTCAATCCTCCAAGTTATTCTCCATATCCCAGTCATATGAATTGCCTGCATCTGCTGGGTCTGATTCTCTCTCTCTCTCTCTTTTTTTTTTCTTTTTTTTTTTAACCTGACAGTGGGTCAAGCCGGAGCAGTTTTGCCCTTTCTTTGCAGAAGATCTTTTTGACTCTCCATGGCCATTTTGCAGACCATACCATGGGGGAGTTATGGCCACCCGACAGCACTTCAGCAGCAGAGGTGGTAAGGGACAGAAGATAAAGCATTCACACTGCCTATGAAAACATCAGTGTGTCTGTAAACTTTCTGGACATTTAGAACGAAATACCAAGGGACAGCCAGAGGGAGTCAAGCAAGGGAATGAGATGGTGCCTGCATGTTCCCTCGAGGCACTGGCAGCAGCCGTGAGACTCCTCGCTAGCTGGCGCCTAGTGCTGACTCCTAGCTTTCATCCAAAGCTGGAGGGCTGTGGATGGCTTAGCTCTGCTGCACAGCCATCCTGTTAGCAGAATAAATAGGTGTACCACTATCCCCATCTGCAGTCCTGGAGCTCCGACAGTCCACGTGTGTCATTTACTTGTGTGAGTGGTCGGCTGGTCTGCCTGTGCATGTAGCTCCCTCTGTGAAGGGAAGCAAGCATCAGCTGGAGTGACAGAGCCCAGCAGGATTGTGACAACTATCCAAAGTTTACTTCACATAGTTCTTTACTTCAGGAAAAATCCAGTAGGTGGCATAAATAAGCCATACACTTTTCGCAGTTTTACGTGTATACTTGTGCAGATCTTTTTATTTCACTCATTCCTTATTTTAAACTTCCATTAACTTACATAAAAGCTGAAGTTTTTCCCTTTGGCTCATAAAACACAATCCCATAGGTAAAGTTATGTATTCCAGGCAGATAATTTTCTTGATACTTTCTGGCAGCATATAGCTATTTATTTATTTATTTTTGTCTCTTTCTGTACTCATGCTTTGATAATTTCTTCATACAGGTTACCACAAAAAGGTAAAGGTTTCTTCTGAGAACAGGCTGATCCAGACCGATATCTTCCATTGAAATGCCCCATATTTAATGGGTTTAAAATCAGCTCAAGTGTTGTCAGCTTAGGCACTTTTCTGTGATAGTGTAATAGAGTGCACCAGCACTCTATGGCACCAGCAGCATTGCTCAAGATCTCTGAAATCTGATGACCCACTGGTAGCTTGTGCTAAAAATCTTTTCAATTAAACTGTCTTCATTCAGACATAAGCTTCTGAGCACTTCATTCTTCCTTGGTCCTGAAAAATGCTTCTGTGTACCTGCAGTACCTCACGATTGCTTATCTGTGCACCCAGTGATTACTTTTTCCATGGTTAATGCAAGTTAGATGTTGCTTTTGTGTTTCTAGGGCATAGAGCTTGCAGGTACTTGGAGCCCCGATGTGCTACTAGGAGAGCCCCTGAGGAGAGGATTCACACACAGCCTTTAATCAGTGAGTACAGGGACATCTTGCTGCTTCAGTCTGAAAAGCTGCTGTTCCCAGCTCTGCTGGGAGAGAATGATGGTTGTTGGCAGGTTGTTGTTGGGTGTGAGCTCTTCAGCACGCTCAGTTCATATTCTCTTCTCTTAGCATAAATCCAGACCCACCTAGGAGATCCTTCTCCAAAAGGTGCAAGAAGGGACATTGGCAGGGGACAAGGAACAGCATCAATCCTACCCCAAACAGATGAGAACAGATGAGAGCCTGTCTGAAACAACAGATGGCCCTTCACCTTCACTGTGGCAAGCCCAGCCAATGATGTTGGCCCACAGCGCTCGATAAAAACACAACTCACTGGAAACAAAACTCACTCCATTGCATCATGCCAAGCACAGTACAAAAACAAAGGAATTTCCAAGCACGATGAAGCTAATGGACATATGTCATGAACAACATCATGGACCAATGCACATTTGTCATACCTATTCTGCAACTAGTTCTTCTAGTAACAGGG